CGGAATGGTTGTTAATATTTGTCAGAAGAAAAGTGCAAATCTAAAAGTGTAGGCCTCTGTGCATTCATACACTTCTGATTATGTCCAGTAACGTTATGGCCTGAAAGAAAATACTTTCTGCAAGGCAATACACTGCATGAATCTGGGCTACTCATTATCTCTACCAGTATCACAGACTAATGAGATTTGCCTATGGCTCATTAGAAATGTGTTTGAGTTATATCTGGCTGGTTCACAGACATTCATTCAAGAGAGATAATTGGAGTATCTCTATTAACGTGATATGCTAACCAGCACACTAATGACAGCTCTAGTTGAAGTTACCTGAGATTTCCACTCTAAAATTTAATTTCAAGTGCTACAGATTTCTAAAATTCTCTCTTTTTGGAATGAATACTTTCAGGTGTAATTTTTGCCTACGGATGTGTAATTATAGAGCATTGAACAAAAAGCCTTCCCTTCTTTCTAGAATAGGGAGAGTGAAAAAAAATCTCTCTCTAGACCATACTTTTCCTCCTAGATGTTTTTTTGGAAGCATAAATATCTCTAGTGGCAAGCATTTAATAATAGAAACTTGACAAAGTTACCAAACATAACAATTGCCTGTTGATATCCTGGACAAAACAGATTTTTCTGGCTGCATTGTAGGCATGTTTCTCTCCCCTTGAATTTTATGGGAATGACACATGCTTAACGCAACAGTATTAACACTGCAGTATACAGTAATAAAAATACATACCCTGATTTACCTAGTGTTTCGGCAAAAAGACATTTTTTCATTGCCACTTACTAACTGAAATGAAACTATCTGCTTGTTTTGCTTATTCCTGTTTTGAACTGAGAAAACAGAAAAAGAAGAATTAGGCTTCCTCCTTTTCAGCCATTTGTAAGAAAATAGTTCAAATTTGTTTTCCTTTAAACAAAAAGTGTAGACAAAACAGAAAAAAAATGCTCAGTTATGCAACTACAGTCTAAACATTGCTATTTTGTACATACATGGTTTGCAGGATGCAATTGCAGGCACACGTGCTGTGCCCCCCCAGAGACCGTTTCCCCTGATGTGTCGTTTGGATTGTGAAAGCCGGATGATGTGGCACAAGCCAGAGCGAAGCAGGAGTTTTGCAGATCAATCTGAATCAAATTCTCTTTGATTTATTACAGATTCAGAGAGCCATCTCTGAATTAATGGTGTTACTGCCAGCTGATCCCGATTGTAGCTGACAACCGCCCTCAGTTTTGAGTGTGTATATAAGTGCTTTTTTCACTTCCTTTTGCATCTGCTTGTGTTCTCTGAATATCTTGCATCCCTACTTCTCTGCCATGATCTGAGGCATGGGTTAGAAGTGGGTGTCTTCTGAGACTGACATACTTTAACTTAACTGCAATTATTGGATTCAACATTGCTAACTTGGATGAAACTTGTTTGTGAAATTAGATGATTAGATAACTCCCCTCAGAGCTTAAACTCTACGAAGTTATAAAAGATAAATTGATAAATAATAGATATTATAAAAAAGTATGTGTTGCATACTGTCATAACTCATGTTTATAAAGATTATAGTTCAGATTATTAACAGAACTATAATAATGTGTTCACTGTTTATTAAAAATTGAACTGTCATACAATCACTCTTTACAGAAAAGTTTAGGACTTCAACATCATCTGTAAATCCTTTAATATCTACAGTGAGAACTTCAAACCAACTCTGCTTAGCACTTTAATGAATTAAACATCATTGCTATGTTTGGCTGATCTCTATTATTTCTGCAATCTTTCCCAAGTGCAGGATCTTCATTTAATTGGCTCTTCAATATCTCAGTGAGTCACTATTCCTTTGCAGTTACCTCTGGCCAATGGCAAAGACAAGTTACACTTTTGGCCTTACTTATTTTTATGGTAGTTCACACATTTTTATGTTCTCTCTTCCAGCCTTTTTTTTCATTTTCCTTTCCCATCTACTGTGCCCCACTCACACCTACTTTGGAAAATGCTGGAGGGGTTTTGGAAAGGAAAGTCTGCTGGACCTTATAAGAAGTAATATGAATTTCTGTAGCTTTTGCACCTAATTTGAAATAACTTTTAATATGAACAAAAAAACCTCAAAAATAATTGGAAATTATGTAATCTATTTCCAAATATCTAATGTATGACTGATTTCTGCTGGAGGTGACCCAGCCTAGAGGCAAACCCAGCCAGGATACTCGCTGAGTTCATAAGGACATTTGGGAACCCCTGTTGTAATTCTGTCTTCTGAATGAGAGGGATGCTGCCTTTCACACTAACAAGATGTTTAACTTGGAGTATCACTGCGTTTGCAGGTCAGGGTTCAGTTACTTTGCTATAAACAGTGCACATGTGATTCATATGATGTAAAATCTGTACAAAGCCTTTTCTGATAGTCTTGTAATCACTCAGATTCTGTTTCTGACTGAATACTTACCAAATGATTGGTTGAACTGCTAGGAAATCAGAATTTTATTTTCTCTGATATGTCTAAATGAATAACATTTAAACACTCTCAATCCTTCTGTTGCTATCTGGTCATATAGACTACTAAAGTCATTTAAATGTTGAGCATATGAGCTTCTGTTTAAAAGACAGTGCCCATTTGTCATCATTTTTCACTGAATTATGCCATTGAAACAATGACTGCCATGAAACAGTACAAAAATTGACATTATTAATTAAAATTACTTTCTTCATGAGACTTCTATGGAGCTTGGAGTTGATGCTATGAGGTGCTGAATGCCTCCTAGGAGGAGCTTGGATTGCCACTAATCTCATAAATGTCACAAGGAGTTGAGACCACCCAGTACCTTGCAGATTCAGGCTCATTATATCCACATAAATTCCTTATGCTGCTGCAAACACCTGAAAGCTAACTTATCATTCATAAGTAGACTCAAAGTAAGTAATAAATAGTTGAGCAGTTCATTGTACTTATTTGAAATTCTGGCACTGATTTTGATGTATTTTTAGACAAAAATATTCCTTTGTTTCCACAGGAGAAACTCAATTGTTGAAAGAACACTGTATTGAAAGAAAGTATCATGCTTATTGATGCCAAATATGAAAGGAAATAAATCTTTCAAATCATTCTCTCAGAGAAGGGAACGCATGCAAAAAAATTTTAACAAAAAATAATTTTGATGTTTGTCAGCTGTTTACACCTTCTTTAAAACTTACATATGTGTCAATTGTGAGAACTTGTAGCGAGCCTCTCCTTGGCTTCATGCAGATAAATTCAGGCAAGGTATGTTCAGAGACTACAAACAGACTGGATGCTACATGCTGATGCACTTTAGCTATGGTTCTCTGTCCGACTCCAGATTCTTTCTGGCAGCATCATCTTCTGCTGTATTAGTAACATCATCTTAGTCTGTATTGCCTAAAAATCACCTCTACCTCATGGAGCATCGTTTAGTCATTGTAAATTTTGATCAGAAAAATCCCTCTCCTAGCTTGAGGTAGGCGTAAGAGCCTTTTTACCTTAGCCTTTTAATTTTAATGTCTTGAAACAGCAACGACACTTCCCCCACCAAGGAAAGACAAAATTAAGATCTTAACTCTGTCTGGAGCAAATGAAAAATCTGAATTGCCCTTTCCTTCGGGGAATCTGGCCTTTATGAGCAGCTTAGCTTGGGATTTCATTTACAATGAGCCAAAAAATGACAGTCAGGATGTTTGTGTCCATGGCTAACCTAGTCCTATTTAAAGTCTTTGCTTGTAAAAACTAACTCTAAATCTAAAATTAGGAAGAAATGTCTTGCAAAATCTTTGTGAATGTAGCAAGAGGTTAACTTCTCAAATGAGAGTGTCAGTATTAATTTCTAGCAATTATTTTATTTTCTTAATATGTTGTATTAAAGGATCTGTAAAAGGAATTCTAACTTATTATCTTTCAAATATTTTGTTCACTGTATGCCCTAACCTGAAAAAGTAAACAGGTTGTTACCTCTGTCTTCTGAGAAAAGGGAGCAAATTCTGGAGAGGTTTGCTCATCTCTGTTCCATGCCTAAAATAAAAATACAAGTTTTTCATAAGGTCATTTTATGCCAACTTGCTTTTCAATATGCACTATATCAAGTTCAAAATACATTTTTCTGTATATTTTATTGCACACTATATTGAATCTATAAGATATTTTATTGAGTTCATTATGCTTCATATTCATCCCATTATGCTTTATTGAGTTCAGTGTAATCTTTAACCTATAATGCACTTTCATTTTATTTGGTAGATTAGATCATTCCCCCCCCCCCCCCTTTTTTTTGTTTTTGT